AATCGTTCAGGTATGAGCACAACCTTGCCAATTGAAGTGAAGAGACGAGTCGCAGGAAGCAGTCGTTAAGAGTAAGACACGATCGCTGACACAAGAACTGTATTCGTCTGACCTTTCGGATTCCACCTCAAACCCATCATCAGAGACAATAGCAGATACGGGTGGTTAATGCACAAGGAGCTGCAGTATTTATAGGATGCAATCGCCATGCTATCACATACCTATGAATATTCACTACTCTTCCCCTTCATCAGGGATCTTTGAACACTATGTGATAACTGTGTGATGATCGACACTCTCGCGTTATTTGCCACAATTTCCTCACGAGTGTCGGGCATTGGTGTGACGATTGCTCGACCATCTGACTCGCTGATTCTGGTTTTGGCAGCCGCGTTCACCTGTGCGCTGGCCGCGTGGCTTATTACTCCACTTAGTCGAATTCTCAGCACCCAGTATGGAAGGGGATGTTCGATGCACTAGTTGATGGACTGGGGGTCAGTGAACCATGATTCAAGCAGTTCGCGGCTCACACGGTTGTCACCTCTAGCGACAATATCGGCCTCTTCGAATTTGCATGTGTGGCCAGATCTCGTCTAATGAGTGGCAACTTAAGAACCGGCCTCATTTCTTCTATCCAAATAGTCACCTACTTACTTAGGCTGTGAAAACGTTATGCGCAACGTAGTCAACTGTTTGTGCGCTAATCGAATGAGGTGCCTCCCAGGTGTCCTTCAGTGAGTTCGGCCACATTCTTAACTTAGGGCAGGTTTCGCCATTTTATTCATTTAGGCGCCTGATAGTCAACACCCAGTTTCTTTTTTCTGTCGACTCGTGTCTTCTCAATCACCGACTTACTAAATCTGTTGGAAACAGTTGAGAACAGTTTGAACAAATAAGTAAATCCGACTTGATAACTTTCATTGGCAGAGCTGTTTGTTGCTGCCCAACTAAGTAGGCCTATAACAGCACTCCGTTTGCGTGACGTAGGTGATCGCTCTCATAAAGCAGAATAACTTCCGTATTGTTGGCGTCTGCCCATCCAAGCAGGCTATCCACCCTGATGAGGCATGTATAGATCAACACATCGGATTAGGTGCCATGGATAAAAATCTCAGTGGGAATAGAAAAAAGCGATATTCAATCCAAACAGGATGGCAGTCCATGGTAATCGTTCATTGGGAGGAACAGCAAATCAGTATTGCTTTTTCGGAGTGTGTTTAAAATTCTGGCTATTTTGCCCACCTACTCCGCTAGCGTCAAAGGTTACAGCATAATGTTTCTCATCCTTCCCAAAAACTTATGTGACTTAACCTTTATATGAATTGGTCTGTCTGCTTTTAAATACGCATACACATTTGAAAGTATACGTCCCGAAAACAACAGGTTGAATTCGAATATGTCCATTAGCAAAGTGAAATTTGTTATGTAAATTTTGGACGTTATTTCCCCGTTTGTCGTCAAATGCAGAAGAAGTGCGAAAAAAAATGGCTAGCATTCTAGGCTTGCCTATAAACATCGATACTTGTTGGGTTTTTTGCCAGCAAGCAGTGGAAGCGCTTGCGCTGCCGTCTGCACGGTTGGCCCAGTCATCCTCGTCCTTCTGACCCGCTGTTGTGCTGCAGTTTGTTGAAATCCTGGTCAAGTAATTGCTGTGTACCAGGGAGTGTGGTGGTACGCCAAAGTGCGGATCTGCACCGTGCCACTACCTGCGTCCTCTCCTGCCTCCGGTCTTTTTGACTGTATCTGGACACCGTGGTCTGATAGAGAGGAGGGGAGAGTGCTGTAGATGCTGCGCAAGTCTACTCTCACTATAAACTACTCCAGGTGAAAGTCACCGTCACTTCTTTCTCTGCCGTGAAGCACACGGTGGACAACGTCGGGCTCGACGATCGAAGTGCCGTGTGCGTGTGTGTGCGTTTATGCGTGTACTGACTGATGCCCCAACCCAGTCTACACAGTCCGCCCAGTTGTGTGTGTTTGTGTCGAGTGGCGGACTGGCGGTTTGAGAACCAGGCTGAATGGCCTACGACATTCACCCATGGGAGATGTACGTCGCCCAACCCCCCTTGTGTGAAATCCTGGTGCGTGTGTTTGGCGGCCCAGGTCGTGCATGAGGCGCTCGCAGACAAGGTCACAAGATATGTCGTCCACCGAATCTGTCAACAGACAGGCTCGGACAGTCGCTGGGATTTGGAAGTGGAAATAAAAAAGTAAGATCGACAGCCTCAGTACATGTTCCTCACTATAAACAATTTGACACGCTTCGGGCCATCACAGTTCGTTATAAGGCGTGGCTTGGAAGATTGTCAGCCCAGTGTGTGTGTGTGTGTGTCGGCCTCCCTCGTCTCCGGTCTTCTTGACTGTGTCTTGACACCGGGCCCAGGCGAGAGAGGAGGAGAGAGTGTAGGTAGATGCTACGCAAGTCTACTGGCACTATAAACCCCTGCGTAAGTCACCATCCCTGCTCCCACAATGCAGTCTGTGGGGCACACGGTGGACATCATCGAAATCGATGGTCGAACTGTCGTGTGTGTGTGTGTGTGTGTGTGTGTGTGTGCCCTCTAAACGGGCCATGTGTTAGATGCGCTGGACCAACACGGGGGCCACATCGGACTCTGGCAGGCGTTATCTGCGCAATAACAAATGCCAACATTCGCGGGGTGCGCTGGCGGACCCTGTTGTCGGCATTCGTCGCACAACTGGACCACTGCCACCACCCCATTGTTTTGTGGTCAAAATCCTGGTCATTTGTGTGTGGACCAGGGGGTGCGGAGTGGAGCGCCAAGGCGAGGATCCGTTCGAGCCATCCACCTGCGGCCTCCCTCGTCACCGGTCTTCTTGACTCTGTCTTGACCCCGGGCTCAGGCGGGGGAGGAGGAGAGAGTGTGGGTAGATGCTACGCAAGTCTACTGGCACTATAAACCCCTGCGTAAGTCACCGTCCCTGCTCCCACAATGCAGTCTGTGGGGCACATGGTGGACATCATCGAAATCGATGGTCGAACTGTCGTGTGTGTGTGTGTGTGTGTGCGTGTGTGTGTGTGGTGTAGGGGTGTCAGCCGTGGGTTCACGTGATGGTCGTGGTGGTCGCTCACTTGCTTGCAGGTGAGACTACGCCTAGCGTCCACTTGCTGACACTCAACTCTCACCTGTGGCTCCACGTAGCTGGAATCTGCTCAGCGGCCACACCCCGGGCAACCGTCTCGACCGGCGGGCTAAACCAGGTGAGGGGGCCCTGTGCGCTGTGCCGTGTGCACAGGGTTTGCGGATTCCGCTGGATGGAAGGTCGGATGGAACCTTGCGTCGGCACCATCATGACGTGGTTCGTCTCTGCACGCCGCTGGACAGCCGGTGACGGGATGGATCTCCACATCGACATCGCCTTGACGCGCTCACCTACGCCGTCGGAGACCGCGGCTCACGGCGAATTCAAGTCGCTCTCCACTACAACCCGAAGTCGTGGTCCCATAGTGGAGTTCGGCCGTGCCACAACGGCACATGGCAGCCCGATTCAGGGATGGCACTGCCAGCACCCACGAGGGGAAGGGCCTAGAAAAGGTGGCCTAAACATTGCTGGGTACCACGCCGTCTTCAGGCTAGCCAGGGCCACAGACGTCTAATCATGGTCGAAACAATCAAAATCGAAACAACAACAATACCAATAACAACGACAACAACAACCATACTCATCCTCCTCACCCTACCTCTTCTTCCTCTTCCTCTGCCTATTCTTCTGCATTTTCTTCTCCTTCGTCACCTTCTTCTCCACCTCCTTCCCGTCGCCCCACTCGTTGCCACCAGACTGGCAGGGTGAGTCCGCTCACTCTGGCAGCCGGGAATGTTCGTTCCCTTTTAGACAATCCGAGGAGCAACCGACCGGAACGGAGGACGGCGCTAGTGGCACGAGAACTGGCGCGCTACAAGGTGGACATCGCCGCACTCAGCGAGACCCGATTCTCCGAACAAGGCCCACTGGAGGAGGCGGGTGCCGGCTACACCTTCTTCTGGAGTGGTCGACCCAGGGCAGAGAGACGAGACGCGGGCGTCGCCTTCGCCATCCGGAACGACATCATGGGACGACTGCCCTGTTTGCCGCAGGGCATTAACCATCGCCTGATGAAACTCCGTCTGCCTCTCTGGCGGGGGGGGGGACAAATTCGCCACCATCATCAGCGCCTGCGCTCCGACGATGAGCAGCCCCGACGCCGCCGCAAGAGACAAATTCTACGAGGACCTGCACGCCCTCTTGGCGACTGTGTCGAAGGCGGACAAGTTAATTGTCCTTGGCGACTTCAACGCCCGCGTCGGCACCGACCATACTGCCTGGAGAGGAGTGCTGGGTCCCCACGGTCTCCGCGGCTCAAACGACAATGGTCTGCTGCTGCTCCGCACCTGCGCAGAACACCGCCTCATCCTGACGAACACCTTCTTCTGTCTGCCGGAGCGAGAGGAGGCCACCTGGAGGCATCCTCGGTCGCGTCAGTGGCACCTGCTTGACTATGTCCTCGTCCGGAGGCGAGAGCACCGGGACGTGCTGGGGACGAAGGCGATCGCGGGTGCTGACGGGTGGACCGACCATTGCCTCGTCATCTCGAATATGCGTATTCGCCTACAGCCTCGCAGGAGACCACAAGGTAAGCGACCCCACGTCAGCTGAATGTTGCCTTGTTGTCTTTGCCCGCTCACCATCTTCATTTCAGCAATGAGCTAGCTCAACGTCTAGACAACCTACCGTTCGCCGCCGCCGACGCCGCTGCCGAGAACGCCTCCGTGGAGAACCGTTGGTGTCAACTGCGAGACGCGGTCCAGTCGACGGCGCTCGCCGTCCACGGTCGCGCTCCCCGTCAACACAAGGACTGGTTCGACGACAACGACGCCGCCATCAGAAATCTGCTTGCTGAGAAGAACCGCCTACACAAAGCCTACGTAGATCACCCCACTGAGGACAACAAAGCTGCCTTCTGCCGCAGTCGCCGCCAGCTTCAGCAATGACTGCGCGAGATGCAGGACGCCTGGACTGCTCGCAAAGCTGAGATCCAAGGCTACGCGGACCGCAACGAATGGAAGAACTTCTTCTCTGCGATCAAAGCTGTCTACGGTTCGGCGACGAAAGGCACTGCTCCTCTCCTCAGCGCCGACGGCAGCACTCTCCTGACTGAGAAGACGCAAATCCTACGGCGATGGGCCGAGCATTTCCGAGGCGTCCTCAACCGCCCCTCTACTATCTCCGACGCCGCCATCGAGCGTTTGCCGCAAGTAGGGACCAACGTGGATCTTGACCTCCCGCCAGCTCTCCAGGAGACCATCAGGGCCGTGCAGCAGCTTTCCAGCGGGGAAGCATCCGGATCGGACGCAATCCCTGCTGAGGTCTACAAGCACGGAGGTCCCCAACTGATGGATCACCTGACTGTGCTCTTCCAGGAGATGTGGCGTCAATACGAAGTCCCGCAAGATTTCAAAGACGCAACCATCGTGCATCTCTACAAGCTAAAAGGGAACCGCCAAGTCTGCGACAATCACCGTAGCATCTCCTTGCTTAACATCGCCGGGAAGATCTTCGCTCGAATCCTCCTCAACCGTCTCAATACCCATCTCGAACAGGGCCTTCTGCCTGAAAGCCAATGCGGCTTCCGTCGTCATCGTGGGACCACGGATATGAGCTTCACTGCCCGTCAACTTCAGGAGAAGTGTCAGGAGATGCGGACCCACCTGAACTCTACCTTCGTGGACCTGACGAAAGCCTTCGACACGGTGAATCGTGAAGGACTGTGGAAGATCATGCAGAAATTCGGCTGTCCGGAGCGATTCACTCAGATGGTGCGTCAGCTGCAGCACGGTATGGTGGCGCGAGTCACGGACAACGGAGCTGTCTCAGAGGCGTTCGCAGTGACCAATGGAGTGAAGCAGGGATGCGTGCTGGCGCCTACCCTCTTCAGTCTTATGTTCTCTGCCATGCTGATGGACGCCTACCGCGACGAACGCCCTGGAATCCGCATCGCCTACAGGACGGACGGTCACCTACTGAATCAACGACGGATGCACTTCCAATCGCGCGTATGCACAACCACCGTTCACGAACTCTTCTTCGCCGACGACTGCGCCCTGAACACCACCTCGGAAGAGGAGATGCAACGCAGCATGGACCTGTTCTCCGTCGCCAGCGAGAACTTCGGTCTGATCATTAACACGCAGAAGACGGTGGTGATGCACCAAACGCCACCCAACTCAGCCACACCCCCCAACGCGCCGCCGCAAATCAGCGTGAACGGAACCCAACAGCAAGTGGTGGAGAACTTCCGTACCTGTGCAGTACTCTCTCCCGCAACACCAAGATCGATGACGAAGTCGCCAACAGGATCTCGAAAGCCAGTCAAGCCTTCGGTCGCCTCCAAAGCACAGTTTGGAATCGCCACGGTCTTCAACTGAGCACGAAGCTGAAGATGTACAAGGCCGTCATCCTGCCGACGCTACTGTACGGAGCGGACACTTGGACGGTGTACACAAAGCAGGCACGCCGACTGAACCACTTCCACCTCAGTTGTCTTCGTCGCATCCTGAGGCTGAACTGGCAGGATCGAATCCCCGACACTGATGTGCTGGAACGGACGGGAATCGTCAGCATCTACACCATGCTGAGACAAATGCAGCTGCGCTAGAGTGGTCACCTGGTGCGCATGGACGACGAGCGACTACCCAAACGACTCTTCTACGGAGACGTCGCGACGGGTTCTCGCCGTCAAGGAGGCCAAATTCGCCGTTACAAGGATACCCTGAAGTCTTCCCTGAAGCGCCTGCAAATCAACCCAACCAACAGAGAAAAGCTCGCACTCGATCGACCGACCTGGAGGAGGGCAGTGAAGACAGGCGCTGCGATCTACGAAGCCAACCGCATCGCTGCCGCCAAAGTGAAACGCGAAGCCCGCAAATCCCAACTTCGCCCAGTCCGCAACGCCGCCGCACAAACGCTTCCAAATTGTCCTCGTTTTAAACGTACATTCCGGGCTCGAATCGGACTTGTTGGACATCTTCGGACCAACTGTGTCCCTCGGACTGCACCAACCATCGTCCCCTCGCCCGCTTCTTCCTCCTCTCTGCCTCCAACTAACTCTGACAATTCTTCTGAACCACCACTTCCATCCACCTCCTCCTCCTCTTACTCCGCCTCCTCCCCCTCCTCCTCCTCCCCCTCCTCCTCCTCCACTGCTCCAACGACGGCCGCTCAGGCGACTGTCACGCGCGCAACAACCGCCACCACCACCACCACAACCTCCCTCGACTCCAGCGATGAGGATCAGGACTACGACTGCCCTCACTGCGACCGCACCTTCATCTCACACATCGGCCTGGTCGGTCACTTGCGAATCCGTCGCACAGAGACTGGCGAACCAGTGCCTGGAGCACCCACCTATACCCACCAAGCTCGTCTCAACTGCCCACACTGCCCTCGCACTTTCAGGCATCGCATGGATCTCTTCGGCCACATGCGCATCCACGAGAGCGGAATTGACCGCAACTCCGACACACCCAAGACACCCAGCACATCCACCACGCCCAGTCACACCCTCGCTCCATCGCCCTGCGCGCCCATCACCACCACCACCACCATCACCGCCTCCTCCGTAGCTGACACTGACGCCACCAACTTCACTTGCCCACACTGTTCACGCACATTCTTCCCACGCATCGGCCTGGTCAGTCACTTGCGAATCCATCGCACAGAGCCTGGCGAACCAGTGCCTGGAGCACCAACCTATACCCACCAAGCTCGTCTCAACTGCCCACACTGCCCTCGCACTTTCAGGCATCGCATGGGCCTATTTGGCCACATGCGCATCCGCGACGACCTGCGGTAGACAACCGCCGGCCACACCACGCATTCACTCACTCCCTACCTTCCACCACCACCACCATCATCACCCCACCAGACATCAACACTCACACACCGCATACACCAAACCGCTACTTTCCACGCCAGTGGGAAGTGTGCATCTCGACTCGGCCCCCATGCGGCTTCGGCTGTACGGGTGACCTGAGTCTGAGACTATCCCGACTCGTCAAGTGTCGTGGATAGGAAAGTTGCTGATTGAGGCCCGCTCTCGGTTCACGCAGTTCGTCACGTTGTGTGGGTGTTGTGTGTAGTGGCGGACTGGTGGGCTGGGGATGGGCTGAAGCAGCACCTTCCACGGCCCTCTCACGCAAGTGGGAGACACGCCGTTACCCCCGTTGTGTGAAATCCTGGTGTTTGCGTGTGTATGGGGGGCCAGGTCGTGCTGTGGCGCGCGCAGGCATGGTCAGTCGACCGTGCCAGCCACCGCGCCCATTTCCCACTCCAGTCTGCTGACCGGCTCGGACAGCGGCTGGGCTGTGGGGACAGCAAGGGAGAGTGAGGTCGACGACTCAGCGCACTTTCCTCACTATAAACAATCTGACGCGCTTGAAGCTATCACGGTGCGCTAAAAGCCGTGGCTTGAAATGTTGCCAACTGACGGGGTAACTTGGACCTCCTCCTTGACTGGAGGCGGTCTGAGTGTCAGGCTGCAATGGTTCCTTTTTAATGTGGCCTTTATGGCACTCCCACCCCAGTGTGGGATCCGAGCCAGGTGTTGGTGGCACGCCTTGGTGCGGCTTTGGTCGTGCCAGCCTCCAAATCTCATTTTGTGTTTGTTGAAATCCTGGTTATTTGTTGTGTGGACCAGGGGGTGTGGTGGAACGCCAATGTGAGGATCCGTCCGAGCCATCCACCTGCGGCCTCCCTCGTCTCCGGTCTTCTTGACTCCGTCTTGACACCGGGCCCAGGCGAGGGAGGAGGAGAGAGTGTAGGTAGATGCTACGCAAGTCTACTGGCACTATAAACCCCTGCGCAAGTCACCGCCCCTGCTCCCACTGTGCTGTCTGTGGGTTACACGGTGGGCATCATCGAAATCGATGTTCGAACTGCGCTGTGCCTGTGTGTGTTTCTGTGTGTGTTTGTGTTAGGTGGCGGGTTGGTGGTCTGAATGTCAAGTTAAAATTGCTTCCTCTTTAGTTTATTTCTATTTAATAGTTAAGGATAATAGGGAAGGCATTTGAAAACCCTATTGATTACATGTCAGCTTGTTAGATACAACTGTACACGAGCAATGAAAATATTCGCTGTAAAAGCGTTACTTCAGTCGCATGGAGTTCAAAAAAATTCCGGGGATCGAGTAATACGTAGCTCAGGTTCAGGCTGTCAAGGGAAAACACTGGTCACAAATACTCATTCGGGCGTTTCTTGAAGAGTTGCGGGGACGTCGCCTCCACGACTGACTGAGGGAGATCGTTCCATTTCTCCACTACGCTCTGCGTGAGAAATTCAGAACGAAGATTCAGCGCGGACATTGTTGTCCGTAGCTTCATCGGGTGACCACGAAGACTGGGTGAAAGATGTCATTGAAACATGTCCTCAGGGCTAAGTTCATGCTCGTATTATCTCGTAGACGAGGATAAGATCACCTCTTTGCTGACTGTAACACAGGGAATAAATTAAGGCAATTCAGTCTCTCTGTGTCGGTCTGGCTTTTTAGACCGTTTTCCAGCTTTGATGCACGACGTTGTACCCGTTCGAGACATGCTTGGTCCTTTACTAGCCATGGACACCATGCTTGTAAGTCATATTCTAAGTGGGACCGAACAAAGTTGCCGTAAACACTCCCAAAAAGGTCTTCGTCAAACGTTATGAAAGAACGTTTTGATTGCATGCAGCACTCCCCATGGCGTTTTTTGCAGCCTTGTTGCACTGCAATGCTGGTTTCATGCCGCTCTTTATCCAGGCACCGAGATCCTTCTGCAAATATTCTGTGGACTGGTGATATGCCCTCAGGCTCTCAGTTCAATGGTTGTTGGCTGGATGCGGATGACGGACGGCATACTGCTGCACATTGAAATTCAGCAGCCATTTCTTGGACCAGGCTTGTAGGCGGTGCAGACTGTTTTGAAGGGCTCTCTGGTCAATTGGACACTTGATGACTTGCCAAAGCCTAACGTCATCGGCAAACATTATTTTACCGCAGCCACATTCCTGAAGACTGTCATTACCATAAAGGATGAAGAGCAATGATCCCTGAATTGAGCCCTGAGGCACACCACTAGTCACATTCACCCAGTCTAGCATATTGTCTCCAATACAGACACGTTGTTTATGACCAACTAGAGACGCCCTTATCCAGTTCGGAAGATCTCCCTGGATGCCGATAGCGCTCAATTTGTGAAGAAGGTGTTGGTGTGATACAGTGTCGAATGCCGCAAACTTAAGTTTTCGCTGTTCAGTGAGTCTGCCCATGCAAAGAACAGTGTGAGTAAAATGGCACAAGTAAAATAAATTTTGGAAGCAGTTCGTTAGTGAAATTTGCACTTACTAACTTTCAAAAAAAATACCGTCAAGTTTAATAGTTGGCTAACAGCCTAGACCTGAGTACAGATGTCAAAATGGTTTCAAGAGAACTGACTGTATTCTTCCGTTTTCACATTGTTTAAGGTGCCATTGACTAAAGCAAACAGGTTTTCGCCCGAGTTCGCCTTCAGATACGCAACAGGAATAAACATGTTGATAGGCCTTCTTGCTTCCGCGCTGCTTCATCCGATTTATTAGATGGAAAAAGACAATTTCGGAGTGCAGTAGGTTCCGTTTGGTGAGTGGTTCATGTTTGAATTATTCTCCTCTCCTAGAAAAACACACAGAGATGCGCAGACGCAGTCTATGCCACCTATTAGCATAGGAAATTGTCAGAACACAGGGTAACGTAGACGCCAAATCTGTATATATTTCGACCGAAAAAATCACTTATAAACATACTGTACATGCAGAAAAGGCCTCTGTCAAAATAGACTGGGCGAATAAGTATCAGCATCAGTGTAAAAGACGTAGCATTACTAATCACCCCCAAATGATTGTCCTAACTTCCGTCAAAAGGTTTCACGAGCTAGGTCACAAGCCGTTTTTTAAAATGACGTCCACCGGTCAGGTAAATACACATGCGCAACCAGTTGTGACTTTGGGCAGAATCTATGACCGTCGTAGACAGCCGCATAGCGATTATTAATAAATTCTGTGGTGACCTCCAACTCAGTTGCAGAGCGTTCGACTTACTAACTTTCATTGACCACATAACTCGGATTCGACTCCAAAGTACCGGAAAATTTGGTTGGGTAAGGCCGGCTGACGAAGCTTAGCCAGAACTGCCCATTACAGCCTTTATGTGTGCTTGATTATTCGGTATTTCACTGACGTCGTTGGAATTCAGATGTGTTTAACCAACACAGTGCCAATAAGTCCACACCGTTACAATGCGTCATGCATGTGTTGGCCTCAGCCGTCACGTCCAGATTACCAGCGATATCACGGTGGCTAAACGGCAGTCTTAGATAGATAGATAGATACATAATTTTTATTAAAGACCCGTCGGGGTCCCATCATCGTTAGCGTCATTAATACTAAACAACACTCTCGCTTTTCCACAATGCAACGTCTTTTTTGATCCCGGTTTGCCTGGATTGTACGTTTTTAAGCTCGTTGCTACGGTACTGCCGTCAGTACACAAAGGACCATTCTGCCGCCAAAAATGCAGACTCAGTGTCAGGTTTTCCTTATCCCGGTTGCACGTTCCAATCCCTCATCGGTCTACAAAGTCACCCGCTATTTGGTCACAGTACGATCTATAAGCCATCGCTTTGAATGCTAATACATAAATCCCGAACGTGATTCACTTGTTCCCGCAGTGCCAGGACATTTATTCATCCCATTAACCTATAAGCTTATTTAATAATGTGCGAAAACCTTCAACGAGACAGCATCAGCCAGGCCTTCTTGCAGCTACTTTCCCTACTCGCACACAACTTATCTGTCTTTACGTATGGGTTCACCCGGTCGTGCGTAGATTAACGTCGGTTGTCGGCAAAGCACCACATATTGCTCGGGCAGCAACAATGTGATGAGACTGCTCACGGTCGCCGAAATAGGCGGAACGAGAGTTGTGACGATGAGCACTTATTGTCTACGTGGGAAGTGTGTTATCTGACAAAGTTTAGTAATGTGGGGAGGACAAGCAGAATGGAATTTGTATTCTTCGACAGGAATTTCGCGTTACCATATTCACTATGTTCGGTTTTATTCGCAGTTGATCCACGAGCTTAGACAATTCCCTGACAATATCACTCAACCTCTACTAATGTTGGAATTTTTATTAAGCTGTTCAGTTCAGTTCAGTTCAGTTTATTGAGGGAAATGTAGGTCTTCACCTTTGAACTCCCTATTTGTTTACAAGCAACTGCAAAATCTCAAAAACTCGAAAAGGTATCATAAAGTAACAAATAATCGGAAAAGCGTCAGGTCTGTACAGACAAACAAACTGTCTCGAATTTTAGTGGTACGAGCAGTTGTAGAGCTGTCGTTTCGAGTGCAGCGAAATAAATAATATGTCCGGGGACAAAATTTGCATATGTGCATGTCAGTAAGCGTAGGCGATGGGCTGGTACAATAAAAAGTTCAATTTACAATGTTACTGAAATATAGCAAGTAGTATTATAATAGCGGAATTTGTCGAGGTTACAGAGATCGGGGTGGTAATTTAGTGCACACTGCTAGACGAATCCAGCTTCCTCTTAAAAACCTCGACGGAAGCAGACATAACGACATCGAAGCCCTTTGTATCCAATGTCTTCTAAAGCGGACAACGATCTAATCTTTGTCTTCTTAACATTACAACATTTCCTTCACTTTGGAGCAGCAGCGCTCGGATGAGTGGGTAGACTTGATTTACAACTCCTTTTTCCAACCTTGGTACTTAGAGACAGAGACTTGCATAACGATCGTACGTACATCTTCGCATCTCACATGCTTTACTCGGATTATTGTTTCCATGTCATAAAAGACATAAACTATAAGTTTAAATGAAGAGGCGCAACCCAATGTTTCAGGGGTCCCGGCTACGGGAACTCGGGCCGGTGCCCATTCTATTACTGCCGGACGTGATATCAGATTTAGGATAAGAGTTACGTTTTATCCATTGAACCAACTGTCTTCCTCCGTCTCTCTGTATGTTTTTTTTGAGTTACGGGGCTTAATCCGTGTTCGAGCCTCTGACGCTCCGCTGACAGAAGCGTATCGAATTGCTCAGTATCCTAAAAAAGAAGACAGGGGCTTTTCTCTTAAAAATATCTTCAATATCATCCGGCTTAATACATCCGCAGATTCTGATGGTAGAACGACATCTCCATCCATATTATCCCACCTCCGTCTTCGGAGTAATTTTTAATTTTTATTCTTATATCACTTTAAATCTTTATTAAAGTGGCGTGCAAATATTTGGGAGCCAGAATAAAGTAGTTTAGCCTTGATTTCATAAATCGGCAATCTGTGCGGATTCCCATACTGACCTATCGTCTTGGCAACAGGCGAATTTTTTGTCGTCGGTGCCAATAACGACGTTGCCTCGTGCAGGATGCGTATCGAAGAGGTCAAGAGCAATACAAAAGCCCAGCGCATTGCCGCTCATAGTCATATTCGCGGCTTGGGTTTAGACGAAAATGGTGTCCCTCTTCCCACCGCTGCAGGCCTCGTGGGTCAGGAAAGCGCCCGTGAAGTAACACCGCATTCATATCCCTATTTTTAAGGCTGCCGGTATTGTTGTTGAAATGATTCGGTCTAAGAAAATGGCCGGGAGAGCCGTACTAATGGCTGGTCCTCCAGCCACGGGGAAGGTTAGAACCCTTTTTCACCAGCTCTGCAGACTGCTATAGCCTTGGCCATCGCCCAGGAACTGGGTAACCGTGTCCCCTTTTGCCCTATGGTTGGAAGCGAAGTATTCTCGTCAGAAATAAAGAAGACCGAGGTCTTGATGGAAAATTTCAGACGTGCAATAGGTACACATTCGGTTTTCTTACTATCTCTGAAGGCTTGCGGATAAAAGAAGTGAAAGAAGTGTATGAGGGCGAAGTCACGGAGCTGACGCCCGTTGAGACAGAGAACCCAACTGGGGGTTATGGGAAAACTATCAGCCACGTCGTCATAAGTCTTCGGACCGTAAAGGGTGTTAAGCAGTTGAAGTTGGATCCCTCAATCTATGAGAGCCTCCAGAAAGAACATGTCGAAGTCGGGGACGTTATTTACATCGAAGCAAACTCCGGCGCCGTAAAACGTCAAGGGCGTTGTGACGTTTACACAGCTGAATACGACCTGGAGGCGGATGAATACGTCCCGCTTCCGAAGGGTGAGGTTCATAAGAAAAAGGAGGTCGTTCAGGATGTTACTTTACATGACCTCGACATCGCGAACGCGCGGCCGCAGGGTGGGCACGATATCGTTTCGATGATGGGCCAACTTATGAAACCAAAGAAAACGGAAATCACTGGTAAGTCTCAGTTTTTTGGTCTCTTACCCGTTTCGCTGAATTAAGATAAACTCAGGAAGGAAATTAACAAGGTCGTCAATAAGTATATCGATCAGGGGATCGCTGAACTCGTCCCTGGAGTCCTTTTCATCGACGAGGTCCACATGCTTGATATCGAGTGCTTCACTTATTTACATCGCGCACTGGAATCCACCATCGCGCCAATCGTCATTTTTGCTACAAACCGAGGCAAATGCACAATCAGGTTCGTAATTTTTTAATGATTTAACTATCTGCTCCATCTCAAACTTGGAGACTGTGTGTGTATTCAAAAATTTGCAATTTTGTGATAATTTCTGCTACTTAATCTCATGCGAAACTTCATTTCCGCAATTTTATGGAAGTTGACACATTCTAAATGATGGCAATCTCCCGGTTGCCGTTAACATCCATGGGTCCATAGCCGAATGTACTCTTTGTGAGTGCATGCCCCTTTAATGGTCTTGTATGAGAGTGCTTTCCTGTTTATTTAAATTTGGTCAAGAATTTCGAGTTTTGAAACTATTCTCTTGCAAAAATGTAAGCGTCAGATTGTTTTTAGACCTCACCCTCGTGCTCATTAGGGATCCACTCGTTTAAACCCATACCAGATTTGTCGTGTCGGCGTCGTACTTGCCGTAGTAACGTCATTCTGTCGGAACAAAAAGTACTTAATACTGTTCAGTGTCAGTGTCCCTCTAACGAATGTCCAAAAAAATCTTACAACCATATCATCTGGTTGTGGGACGAGTTAGTCATGGCGACGTCTTATCACGTGTACTACTGCCCGTTTCGACCTGCGAAATTGCCGCACCTCTAGTGCACGCCGGCAGCAGCCCATACCCCGGCATTGTCGGCCTCCAGCGGGATGATGACTCGGACGATCGTCGCAATCACTTCAAACGGTCTTAGTCAGCGAGTGGAATAGACTCAGGTGGTCAGACATCCTTCTGACCGGTTGTATGGTCGTTGTAAGAGCATTTGAAGAATCCAACCCTAGGAATGAAGCGATTTGCGTGAGCAGTGTCTCGCACCGACTGAAGTGAATTATCTTGACGATGATTCATACAGCACTTATTCTCTAGTCATCGCTCCTACTTCACGAATTTAAGTGGAGTCGGACGAACCTCCCGCTCTCCAAATAATCCGTGCCTGCATTTCATCTTTGACCTACCTCTGTTGTAATCAGAAGTAACAGAAACTTCATTAGTCTAAGAACTGTGCTGTCCGTCGTGGTTAGACAGATATCCCTGAGCTGGAACCACAAGGTGGTTGTATCTGTGAGGTAAGTTAGTAGTTTGGCCTGTATGAGATGTCATCCCCTTAGTCAAAATGCGCGGACTACGAGTTATGATGACGCTTCCCGATCGACCCTGCGCCCACCGTACTGTGAGATACACGGTGGACATCGTCAGTAACGACCTACCGCCGCTATCTGCTAGTAGCTGTCATGTTTTTCGATACTTAATGCAGGAGAAACAACTGTTCCTTATTTTCGAAATTCTTAGTAATTTTTATGCCTGCACATCGCGATCCGGATGGAAGTAGTTCAAGATGACAACTACGAAATCCGCAGTGGTCGATTCGAAGAGACCGACTAGAGTTATGCTCACTCGCATGTCAAACTCCTGAAGATCGGTGTAACCACAGCGTCGCTTAAGTGTGCCTCATTTTTGCCGACCCTTTATTCTGAAGACTGTGCAGCCAAACAGCTAAAATCTTCAAACATCGCTTGTTTATTTCCGTTAGAATGCAATCCTCGTCTGCTGCTTTGTTGTTCGCCGGTGTACTTACTGCTTTAGCGATCTTTATCCTTGACACCAAGTCATGTCCCGAGTCATACTTTAACGCCGGGGTGCCGGTGAACTGTGCTTCATTTACCAACTTAAGAAACCGCGTGCTAGGCTTGTTCTTCTACGTCACATTGACGTTATCCATAGTCAAAATCTAGCATGTCCCCCTCATGACTTTAGCTATCTGTGTTCAAGTCCTGGGATATGCTTGAGAATTCGTGATTACGTCGCGTAGAGCGTATGGTCACTATGCCAGCGCCAGGCATTCAAACTGGTCGGAAGACGAGTACTTCCCGCGTGGTTATGCCTCCCACCGTCTAGCACCATCCGCAAAGTAGTCTATGGTATCCTTCTGATCCAGTCAATCGTTTCCAGCTTGATTCTCTTCAAGTGCCCCCTTTAGTCGTCTCTTTATGTCGAAGCCGTCGAAGGCAGCGACAGCTAATCAAACCCGTGGTCACATCCTGTCGAATTAAAATCGTCCTCGTCGACCAACATGGCACAAAAGTATGATAAAGCCAAACCGACGTGTTTGCAGGGCCGTGCAGCAAATTTGCATTTAAGTGTCTGCACTGTTTGTAAAGCAGTTATTTTGTTGGGAGTTTGCTTCCCCAATCCGCGACGTGGCCTTGAGATAAGTAGTTGGTTTACAGGACAACAGGACCACGAGTCTTCTCGGTGGCTCTGTCTGACTGCCACTTCACGGTACTGTCGTCAAAATCCTGTATGTTAGACCAGGCTTTAATCTATCCTCCAAGTAACGCAGCTGTTGGTAGTTCATGACTGTTCCCGACCGAAGAGCTTGCAGCCAGCTTTTGCTGTTGACTGATATGCTGTTCCCATCCGTGGGCCGACAGGCAAGCGTCGTCTTCCCAGAAGTTACAGACTGCATTCAACGAAGTTTCCGAACAACTGGACGAGCCTGATCAGCCCAACTTTCGTGTTCACACAACCTAAGGATATTTTGCGTTTTCAAGGGTTGTATGGACGCTGCATAATTTTGTACTAGTCTACTGTTGCTGGTGTTTTTTTGTGGCTGTTGTCCCAAATACCCCCTGACAATCGGCTGACACTCGTCGAAATACTGCTTATTTGCAATGTATTTGTATGTGCCACATTTTTCCACAACCCATATCCAACCTCTTTAATGTTCCATTTATCCGAAAAGGTTCAACCCTCATAAGACAATCAGGTGGTCTTCAAACGGCCCCATTGTTCTCTGTCGTCTAACCCCATCATTAAGATACCAGGGAATCGTCTTCGTGTGACGCCTACTTTTGCTTCTGGTCAGACCTAGTTAGAAAGAATATTACGGTGACAAAGGTGTGCACAATGTTCGGATGCAGATAATTTCGATGTCTGTCGGTCAGGACGTCCTGCCCCAGTTTATGGCACCCCCCCCCTCGGTCTCTATACCTAATCCGCCCCTTTCTCTTATTTTCCAACGTCTCTCCCTATCTCCCTGCCTTGTGTTAAGTTAGTCAACAAATGGGATTTTAGTCACTCTCAGGCTTATTAACCATCCATTCTTAGGACTTCATAAAGCTATGGAAAGCTCCTATTGACTTCGAACCCAAAAATCTTTACCATCATGGCCTTTGCTTCCACTATTTACGATAGATGGGCTGTCCCTCCCATAGATGTCTTAAACATTGCTTTCCGTACATTCTCATATGTCCGCTTCACTTGCTTCGCACTTCCGTGGATTTTCTAGGGGCACTGAAGACATTGTATCACCACACGGCCTCCCTCTTGATTTGCTGGACCGTGTGATGATCATACGAACCCTTCCCTATTCTTATGAAGAAATCCTTCAGATTCTCCGCATTCGGGCGGAAACGGAAGGTCTCAAATTATCCGAAGAAGCCTTCAGCAAACTGTCAACCATAGCTACTGAATCTACCCTCAGGTGAGCACCTCTCTTGGCCCAAAGCTTGTCTTTGTTACAATAGAATGCGCGTTCTTGCCAGTTTTTGTCTTAAAAACCTCGCCAGCACAGGAGCAAGTCTATGTTCTGTAGGCCAAGCGCTCCTCATAACAACTAAAATAGGTTTAGGGCTCACTGACAGCGTATACTATTCCAGTATCGGCAAACCATGGCTCTCGCAGCGCTGGTATGCGCTGGCAGCTCTCCTGACACCTGATTCCCTGCCGGTAGATGCGCTTGCGCTCCCACTGGGTAAACAGGTGGTGGGCATGGCTGCGCAGTCATCCTCATCCTTCTAACTCCTGTTGGAATGTTGTTGTTGGTCAAGTGTATTTTGTGGACCATGGGGTGTGGTGGCACGCCTAGTTGCGGATTCGGCCGTGCCAGCCACCTGCGTTCTCCCCCGCCTCCGGTCTTCTTGACCCTGTCTTGACACCGGGTCCAGCTGGGGAGGAGGGAGAGAGTGTAGTAGATGCTGCGCAAGTTCACTATCACAATAGCCTAATCTCACACGCAAGTCACCGTGCCTGCTGCACCTTGCTTTGTTGCAGATGGTGGACATCGTCGGAATCAACGGTCGAACTACCAGGACTCCCTGACCATACTCGCCAGAACGAAAGTCTTGCTTGTCTGACGTCCCGGGCACACATTCGAACCCACCACCCTGAGACAGATATGAAGAACGCATTAGGCGGCAGTACTTTGAGGATGCCGTTACTAAGTAACCGATAGTTCGTCCATAGTAAGCGATGAACAGCACCATCAACCTGGATAGGGCGCAGTGACTACCTGCGAGTGGATTCCAGCTGAGACAGCTTTGCGAAGAACCTGCCTCTCCCTACGCGCTATATTCCAACGAAGAAGCAAAGTCACCACGACTGGAGGTGCGCGTGGGCCTCACCATGTGCCACGAACGTGTTAGTCCCAACTTCGCACTAACCAGACTGCAGAGAAGGGAAGTACCAGGTCGCCGGGGTGAGGCGCTGCAGAGGCCATATCCAAGAACCGTCGCAGTTTGATTTTTAATCCGAGAAGCCAACCACCCCGTCAGCTGGCGACGTTTCAGGCCGCGATTCTTGGTGGTCGCGTCGGGACTACTGTAATGAGGGACGCGCTGACTCGTCACCAGGGAACGTATCTCAACGTCGGTCCTACACTGCCTTTCCTCTCCCACGTCCAAGCGACCAGCCCGAGCATTTTGGTCGACCTATGTCGTAATCTGATGTAGTGCTTGACGTAGGACGCGTGCCAATAACCAGAGACTCGCGGACACGATGCAGCCCGACTAACGTGAACCATGAGCTCGTGCGACACTCGGCCGTATAACTGTTGGTCAGCAGACTCCGGTGGGGTCAGCGATTGCCGAGGTCTTGTCGTGGACGGCGTTAATAGGCGCGATAAATGAGTAGGCAGCCTTACCGATCTCTTCTGTTTTCCGACGCGATGTTTGCCCGAGCACCTGCCGGAAGTAACCAGCTCGCATCGGCATCGTATAATTTATATGGTGGCCGCTGAGTCTGCTTAGTGAGCCCAGGCCAGCAAACTACGAGTTGAAGGTATCAACTAATATTTGTCCCAGGGATTCAGTCCACGTCCCAATTCGCTAACAGTCGACCGGCCAAATTTTGCTGGCTGCTTAAACTGTCTTACTCCTCACAAGAATTGCTAACCGACAACTATCATTCCTTACATTTGACGGTGCGCTCTATTTTTTTCAGTGCCTATTCTCCTGGCCCCCACCCCCGCATCCCCTTTGTCGAATGTTGAGCTCTTCCATGTCTTTTAAATAGGTTTGTTATCCAGCTGTTGACTCCTGCCGCCCGTCTGGCTCAGTTGTCTGAGAGTGAAGAGATCGGGCCCGACCACGTTAACGAAGTCGCCGGGCTCTTCCTGAACGCCAAACAGTCAGCTAAAATCCTGGCCGAACACGAAGCTCAATACATTAAGTAAGGCCGATGGATATATTCCCAAGACAACGGAAGTATTTCGATGACCCCTGTTTTGCAATGTTAAGCCATTTCTGCATTTTCCTGTACTGTTTCACCAATTTTTAAAAATAAGATGTATGACAGAAGCATGTTTACTAAAGTTTCTAAAGGCAACAATCGGGGGTTTGGCACTTAAGTCCTGACTAAAATTCCGGCGCGACGGAGCTCAGCGTGGACAAACTCGCGACCATCCTCCGTCTACAAAGATAGTGTTTCCAGTTGTGTAAGAAGTAGCGTCGCTAGCCAAGAAGGCGATTGAGTTGGCGACATCTTCTGAGTCACCGGTGTGTCCGAGTGGACTGTTATTTTTGGCTCGGCCCAAAAATTTGGCGTACTCTTCCTCAGACATTCCGGCGTTTCGGTGGAGTTCGGTGACAATCACTCCTGGACTGAAAAAAATTAATGCTACTTAATTTCAACAGCAGTCATGTATATTGCGACTAAAAAATACCTATAGTACTGCTGCGCAACGCATGCTCTCTTTTGCGACTTACGCAACACAATTGACGCGGATCCCCTTTGGTGCGAGTTCTGAAGTAAAGAAGGAAAAGTACGAAGAGTCAGCAAAGGCTCATCAAATAAAAAAAGGCGCAGTAGCCAGTCGATGGGACTTACCGAGGGCAGCGCACTTTGTGAACTGCTCAATGGCCGCCTTGCTCATGCAGTAGGAAAGAACGCCGGGGAACTGGAGTGAAACGGAAAGGAAAGACCGCAGATCATAAACGGTGGGAGGAATATTAGGACCCGACAACCGGTGCCGGATGGGATGAGATGGTGCTGCTGCACACCAGCCGACTGGCATGGCGCCCAGGTTCAGGATACGGATGACTATCTGAAATCCCAACATACTCCCTCGAAAGGTTCTCTTGGTTTGCACGCGCCCAGGCCTGCATCCTGCGCCATTTCTGTATCTTAATAGCAATGTTATGCTGAGTGTGCTACCTAAATTATCAAAGGCAAACAACTCTGGCCGTTTGGTTGCCATAAGCCCTACGAGTGGGTGGAGATGTGCACTCAGACATGTCGCAGCGCCTTCACTAACTGGCATCTGGCTCATGAGGGTGGCGCGCCTGATAACTTCTACCGACCATACTTTTGGCCACCATGCCGCAGTCAACTCTGGCGCTATACAGCGTTAGCTGACGTATATCCGTCGGACATAAGGCCAGAGGTTGTTGCACTGCAGGCAGTTCGGGCAACCTGTGTTTACGCAACGACCGACCGGATGCCGCAGCATAAACAGTGTAGCACAGGCGGGCGACACTCCGCGGACGAACCGTATATGCGCAGCCTCGGATATTTGCGAAATGAGAAGCTGCAAATATTCAAACGGCACTCCAGGTCGTAATTGGCCTTCTCGGGGGCAGAAAAGTGATTTGATGTCAGAATAAGGCCTCAGAGCACTGTGTCCTATGCGATGACATGAGCCATCTTATTTGACATGCAATATGCGTGGAGGTCGGCAACATGAGCCACATAAGACCCAAGCCGCCGTTTGAGAAATACAAAATTTCCACGTTCAACTAGGGGGTACGTGAGTATAGGGAGTTAAAATGGGAGCTCAGATGGAGTTATGGCATAATCGGCAGAACTTCCATACAAAAGGCATGATGTTGCGTTATAAGAAGGATCGTACAATACGAATTTAAGGGCTATGCCGGAGTACTAATATACTTGTGAATCCCATGCTGGGGCAAAGAGTGCCTTGCAAGACTACCGTCCCAGCGAGAACTTCAGAAGTGTATTTAACTAGGACTGCCGGACTAGGGGTGTGTAAGGAGAAGTTATTTCCTTTGATGGATGTGTTATTGTCTTTGTCAATCGTTATCGACTGAGACCAACATTATCTGCGCGGGTTTGGGGTGACGCGACACCTACTTCCCCCCCCCCCCTTCTCACGCCCATAACCCTCCAGTGGGAATACAACTGGAGATGGCCCGGGCGGTAGCTGACTCTGCGCGTGCTACGCACGTGCTGGTCCGTACGCGCGCGCGCGCACGAGATGGAAAATTGCCTGGGGTTCCTCACCGAAGGAAGTTCCAGTAAAGACCACATTATGTAGGGGCTACTGCCGCCTGACCCTCAGCCCAGTGAAGGATCGTGTATATATGTATATTGTACATGTATATATGTATATGTATATTGAAGGGTTACAGGCAGAGCCCTTGATGACGCTATTTATGTACAGTGCTTTCGCAGATTTATACTCAAAAATAAAATTACATTGCAGGCATTTAAAATGTGATTGGGTCATAAGGTAAATTAGTGCGGAAGATTGTATATGACAGATTTTACAAAACTGGCTGTGCATAGTCATGCTGTACAAGCCCATTTCTGTCGAAAACTAGACGAGCAAGTTTTCTTTTAAACACACAAACTGTACCAGCCGTCACCATCTCGCTTGGAAGCGAGTTCCACGGTCTGACGACCCGCTGGCTGAATGAAAATTTTCGTCGGTCTAAACGCGTGCGCTCATTCCCGACTTTGTATGCATGGCCGCGTAGTTGGTTTGTACGGGCGAACTCAAAGAAGTCCTCTGCTCTTAATGAGCAACACTGGCCGCGAGCAATCCGGAACGTCCAGAGTAGACTGCAGTTTATTTGTCTATAAGAGAGAGGGAATAGGCCAAGCAAATTCAGCCTCTCCTGATAAGACAAATGTTTTAGACCGTCGACCATCTTTGTCGCTCTGCGTTGCACCTGTTCGAGTAAGTTGATATCCTTCCTCATCCATGGTGAGGCTGCTGGCATTCCATACTCTAGATGAGGTCTTACAAAGACACCAAAGAGTCTTTCGAAAAGTTCGGGAGGAAATATTTTAAATGCACGTCTGATCCAACGTAGAGTACTAGTTGCCTTCTGGACCATCTTTCTACACTGTTCTGATGGCGATAGATTTGTGGTCGTCCATACACCCAGATCTCTGTGTCTTTCCACAGTTTCTAACCTCGTCCCGTCAATATAGTACTGGTGTTTGGGATCGAACTATCCCACCAGTCGGCACGACCTTTAACACGTCCGGTTGCTCATAGCGAGGATAAAACGCGCTGGATCAGCGGCATATCCGTGCCAGATCAGTGGCAGCCTCTGTCCAAAGCGTGCCATACGTAATGGCGTAGCCCTTACAGGCGACGACAGAATATACAGGCACATTTAGATCAAACTAGTTTAAAGTAAGTAATGCTTTAGGGTAAGATGATGCCATACTAACAGCACAGGTACTAGCCAAAAGCCCATACACGCGTGTTTCGCCGATATTCTGCCGCTGCAAGACGCAGCCGCGAGGGGTTCGGCCAGTCCGCTCGATGCAAAGTAAACTTCATTTGACGAGAAACGAGTTGGTCAACCAAAGAATATCTAATGACTGGAGTGAGTATGTGAGCAGTGCATCAGCACGCAATTTATCCGCTTTGTAACCGATTTTGATTAACTTTCTACAGCCTAGCTGTCACTACGGTAAAAGGGATTTCGAGAGATCTTGTAAGAAGAACCAACATTTTAGTCAAATATTAGTTTTGGGTGTAGCGCTGGCCGAACGTACCACTTCGTCTTGAGGCTGCGGTCGTATGGAGGTAAGCATAAAAACCAAAAAACCTTACCGACGAAGACATCGGAGCTCACGTTGGTGAACGTCACCTCTAAAGGACTTTTACTACCTCCGACCTCAGTCAACAGCACAGGAGTCAGCAGTTGAACAGGCAGAGCGTAAAGATCAACTGGACCCGAGTTGGAATCTCCGGCTGAGATATGGGTGGTTGACGATAACAGACCAAAAATCGCTTCACGGGTACTAATCATAATACCTATGCGATCACCCCAACGGCTGTAGCAGGCGTTCAAAACCAGAACGGGTGACCGTATCCCGTTCGGTAATTAGCCCGGATAGGTGGACGCAAGCACTAACGGTCACAGTCAACAGAGCGTTGTTCCGCAGCTCAAATGGTACAGTCTTTGAACTAAAACTGGTGGACGATCAAATGACCTCGGCTCAAATACCAAGTGTCCGTCTTGTTGATGACTGTAAATGAGCCATAAATGGCCGTTGTAATCGCCCTTGTCTTTGTCGACAATACTTCATGAATGAGAAAGCAATTTGACATAGAAAAGACAGGGAAGAACGAAGGGTCACAAACGTACTGAACGATTACCAGCGACGCTTGAAATGTTAATTATACAGCCCTTGGTCTCTGCCAACTTTGGGACCGCCAGGTTGGAGAGGACAAGGACGGACCGCACGTTGATGTTCATGAGCTTTTCATGCGCTGCAGCGTCAAAGTTCTCCACGCTGTCCTTTATTTGGATCCCAGCGTTGTTTACCTGCCAGAAGCCAGAGCAGAAAAGAGTCGAATCTGTGGGTTATAAATTCCACCTACTGCATATGAACAACGAAATTAGGTAGTAACTCGATCTGCCCTGCGGCGAGGTTCGGTTCTGCAGCCCCACCTGCGTGATACCACATGCTTAGCTTTGTAAAAAAACTATTAGGTGCGAGTATGCTGACTGAACAAAATCACGTATTTTCACCTTCCCTACAATTCTAATCCAGCGAGTGACTGTGCCACGGGGGGAGGAGCGCTTATACGCCAGCCTCGGTTACTTCAGGTATCAGTTCACACTCGCTCCCCATCGCGTGCTTCGAGCCCTACTTGCGCCCTCTATTATCTGAATCTAGCGGGTGGCCAGGTAGACTTGCTAGTGGAATTTTTTGCGCTCGACTTCTGTTTGCGCTCTCAATGCCATCCTAATCCAGTGAGTGGCTAAGTTTGGCTTGTTGACTAACATTGTTTTAGTGGGCTATCCATACGGTACCACTCAGGTGGGGCTGCAGAGACGAACCACGCCAAAATGACGTTAAAATTAAAAATGGCAGGTACGTCGAAAGAAGCAGCAAATGCACAAACTAGTAATTCAGATAAAGGGAAACCAACGGTTGTGTGATCGGACAAAAGTAGGCACGACTGCGCATCCCTAACAGAAACCAACATACCAAGATGTCGAGTTTTCCAAAATGCTGGATGGTCTTGTTAAAGGCCGTCGATATTTCCTCCAAAATGGAAAGATCAGCCTTAATGATGCAGTGTGAGGCTTGGCTGCCAGCCTTTTTCGTCTGTTCCTCGCACAGGAGAAGGGTCTTGTGCAGACGATCCTCGTCACGTCCGACCAAGGCAACTCCGGCTCCTAGCTTGGCAAAGAGCACGGCCGTGGCTCGGCCAATGCCCGAGCTGGCCCCTGAAAAGCAGTTAAGACGACGGCATATATGCAGCTTAAAGCAGGCTAGGATCACACAGGGAAATATGGAAACCTGTTATGTGGCACGGCATCATTATCCTGGGCGGAGTGACTACAGCCATAAGTCATGGAAGTGGAACAATAGCGGTGACGGTTCTCGAATTTCGGGCTATAGTGTTCACCTCTGTCCTGAGGGGTATGCGGTGGCGACTTGCGCGTGAATTTGCTTATGTTGAAGTAGACTTGCATTGCACTTGCCGTGCAGTTCCTTCCACTATCTATCGTTCTGTTGGAGGGACAAGATCGAGAGGCTCGCAAGACTAAAAGTCTCGAGTACGCGTCCCCGGGTGAGCCAATTCTTAACTACGCACGCACTAGGCCTCATTCATGATGACTCAAGTTAAAGTGTTCTGAAGGTAACATTGTGGAGAAGTCATTACGGTCCACGGTAATCGCAGTCACTACCTACAAGGCCTTGCTTTCCCAAACTCAGCATCTACAAAATATTATTCACAACAGCTTTGGAGATGGATCCTCCATTCAGCCAGCCGTGTTTGTAATCGCATCCATTATAGAGGGCATGTTTGGAGAGAGTGCTTCTAAGTTGATATTACGTGCGCAAAACAATCAGTAAAAGCGGATTCTAACATATCATGAAGTTAGTTGACTTTTTGTTGCATTCAGCACAGCACGTGCATACGTCAGGCGGTACACCTTTGCGTGTTAAGGGACGAACACTCTTAAGAAGCGCTCTGGTAAGGCCTGTCTACTTAACCACCTCCACCACATCCTCTCTGTGATTGGCATTCAGGACTTTTTTCCTCTTCTCCGTTCTATCACTTACGGCATTTTATAACGCTCATAGTCCCATTCTCATGCCTCATTTGTAAATTAGGCTGTTGACTTGACATACGCCCCAGGTTTGGCGAGAAGTTCGGGGGTTTGGACGTCGTGTAACTGGACCACCTCGAAGTTGACCAGACTAGGAACCTCCGTGAGCGCATACACATACGTATTCAACAAGTCTCGCGTTACCGTAATAGGGAGCTAGTTTGCATTCTGGAGGAGCCTCAAACTCAGAAAACGATTGATAGTAACACGATATACCTCGCCCGCCCCTCCCTCTGTCCATAATTTTATGCCTTTTAGAGCCTTTCATCCGTGTTTTCCCTGTTTTGTTAGATGGAAAAGATGGAATTAAAGAGTTTCCAATATTGGTACCCAGAGTGGCCGATATGACTTTTCTATGCTGTGCAGTAAATAATTAAAGGTCCTCTGTCACTTTAGTCTCCACAGTCCGTTACTGTGCATTCTTCAGTGATTTCGACTCAGTCTTCCACAAGTCACAGATGAAAACAAGTAATTATGCCAAGCAATTGATTTACATCTTACTGAGACCTAGAACCTAATTTGGTTAATACTTCTTTCCCCAGTAACGGTGCATATTGGGTCGATGCACTCTTATCTCAGCATGTAGTGATAGGTGCGCTGTGTCTTCTCACTGGCCAACCCTGTTCTAGCAACCCCATGGCAACTAGTTGGCGTGCTGCATGCTTAACAGTGTCGTAGCGTGCGCGAACGTGATTCTGCGTCTGCCAAAAATGTCCTCTTTTGTTTCCTATTTCTGTTAATTTGTCCCGACAAGCTTACATTATGCACATACAAGCGTCGAAGAGGACAAGAAGAAAGCGGGATGTGGAGGGAAAACGTCAGAAGATAAAAGAGGTGTATAACCGTTGTAAACGAGAGGAATCAACGGATTCGCCATCCAACGTTGTCTTCTCGTCGGATGCGCCCGAAAGTAAGTTTTGTACGTCATTGTCTTCAAATTAGAACCACTAGAATAGCATTATGCTGTCTGAGGATGACAGTGTAGATGGTCCACTGTTAGCGCGAACCTCCGTTCGGAAGATATTGAAGGAGTAGACCACAAAGTTCGATTTAGTCCATATAGTATTCCAGAAATCTTCAAAACTGTTGCTAACCAACCCGAAAACACTTTTAGGGGCATTAAATTGCTTGAAAGTAGTTTCCATGGGCTGCAACGATCATGCTTACATAGGACTGAGAAGTCAGAAGGTTTCTTGACACACAAGATTCTGATGGGTGGAGGAAGTTGTACTTAATCTAGCTGTCGACGGCCTCCCAGTGTTTTGAACGAGGAAAATGGGATTATGGCCTATCCTAGGTGCAATTGCAAGGTCCTTTTTAACGGCCGTTTTTCAGGCAGCAATATAATGTGGTAAGTGGAGGACGTTATAAGCACAAACATTTTGTAAGCCTGTCATTCATGCAATTAGGTCATTTCAGAAAAGTGGGCATCGGTGCAACTATTTGCACTCGTCTGTTGCGGTTGATATGTCAGCAATTATGTGACGCACCAACTGGGGCATTTGAGAAACAACTGTAAAATATCAACGCACACCTGAATCCAGATACTGCCTAGTTGTTAAAATATGTACGGAAAAAGTAGTCCATCATGGTGTCAGGTACAGAGAGCGAGCGGATGAGAACTCCCTTTCGTCTGCTCATGATGAACAGTAGCTCTACTGTTCTTGGCCAGAAACTTCGGCCTCACCTGTATTTTTCCTCCAGACCCACTATACCTGGAGTAGTAAAACTGATGGGCTTGTGAGGCAGCGTGGAAAATCGTGTGGGAGACTGAGATCGTATGTACGGCCCTCTATTGAGATAATGGTAAACCGGTGACTAACGTCAGTAAATGCCCACCTTCCGGCTGAATTCTCATGGCAAGGTAGGTTTTCCGATGAATCTGATTTGCTGAAGGGAAACGAAGTCAGACAGTTCTGGATGTAGTCGTTCGGGTAAGGTACTGGGAACAGAGCCTTTTACTGTTTCCTATTATGCGGCCGATCGCATTTCCATAGTTGTTGTCAAGTTACATATGCTACACCCGAAAAGAATTCCAAGGATTTGGAAAACTTTACGGTTAGGAGCAGATGGAGTTAAATGCGCAGAGTATACTGCGGTGATAATGTGCGTTACCCTAGCATAAAGCACACCCTAATAACATCACACGCCCAGGGCTAACCCCCACGGCTAGTCAGCAGGTAGTGTTATGCTTGGCAGACTCTTGCCAGTAGTTCTTGCTGGACGGATATATCCGTCCAACAGTTCATTCGCATAATTGGCAGTAGTGGCAGGGATGTGGCAATAAGGCTGAGTAAATCGCGCAGGTTGAGCCCAGTTAGTCAATCGAATCGCCGGCCGCACACAAGCCCGCAGACCTGAGCTAATAGTGAAGAGCTATATATATAGCGCTATATAGAGGATAGCGTAGTACTACGCTATTTGAGGATGAAATAACACACTACTTGACGTTTTACGGTCGACAACACGGAAAGAGCGCATTCTTCGGCTCCCCAGACTACTCAGTCGTCCTAGGTATTAAAACATAATGTTCCCATTTAACAACCGGCTACATAGATGTCTTCAATAGGTGGAATGCCGATCACAGTTCAGATCGGCATGATTTAGAGAAATGCTTTCGCCTTATGTTCAGAAGGGCCTATGATCGGCTACAAAAGAGGACGAGTAAACTATCTACGACACGCCCACTGGACGGTTAGTTACCCCTTCATAATCAGACCTCATGCATCTATTATTTACATTACCAAAATTAACTTGAGTGTGCTTTTTTAGACACTGCCGAGGATGACGAAGATACTCCTCGTCCGGGACCGTCTGGCTCTTCGTCACAGCCTTAGAACGGTCTGTTATGACCGATTTATACAAGACATTATTACTTTTTTTACCTAATATCTATTTTGTACCAGATTTCGAACGCTTTTAACTAGATATCTATTTTGTACATATTATTCTTTTTACAAAAAATTTTAATAACGAACAACCACATTACTTGTCTTCATTCACATTACTTACGGGATAGTAGATTAGCATTATGGGCATGAAAATAGGGGAAACAGCTTAGGAGTGGGACTTTTGAGAAAATAAGGGGGGTTCTGCACGGTTACGACACGAGATTCGAAATTTTCGCCGCAGATTCTGTGCCGAGCCTATGTGCCGAATCTGTGCCGAGCATCTGCGCAGATTCTGTGCCGAGCCTCTGCGCCGATTCTGAGGAGATTTGAGTGACAAACTAGGCGCAGATTCTGCGTAGATTATTCTAAACCTCGGCTTAGATTCGGCGCAGATTCTGAGCAGAAATGTTATCAGGGAGTGTCATCAGAGACACTGACATCCCCAACATGTAGATGAGCAAATATACAGAAATACTCGGAGATCAGAGCTTCGTTAAACGTCTATGCCACTTTAACTGCGAAAATTCCACAAAATGACCGACAAAACTCAGTACAGACCTAACACTGCAACGCAGGGACCCCGACATACACGTCGAGTCGATATATACGGACTTTGTGTGCAGCATAAACCATAAGGGAAAAATATTTCAAAACACACTATAAGGAAGGTTCTAGGCCCTTAGACATCCATAACTACCTGTAATGAGAGCAACCTTGCCAGCCAAACTCACGAGGCTCATCCGGAAAACGAGACCCAAAATACCTCCAAGTTCCCGAAACAGACAAACAAACAGGCCATACCACCACATTGACCACACGTGTCTGGCTTTGACTGTAATGTTTCCCGTATCACTAAACCCAGTCTGGCAAGTGATACCTGTAGTTTATCTCCCATAAGATGTTTACTACTGTACACACTGCCTATTAAAATATCTGAAGCTCAGTTGTTCAGGGGTGTCGGTCAAACAGACCGAAATGATTAGATTGAAGCAATGTTTTCCCCGAATAAATTTGAACAAGGCAAAGGCCTCTAAATTGTTGTTCATAAGCACCACAACCGCCATCCCAGTTAGACCAACTAAAGACATTTTGCCTATGCACGCCACATAAAAACTGTGTTTATGAGTTTACACGTAGTTGCGGATGAAAGTACATTGGGCGCACGCAAAGGCAGTTGGCAGCTCGGTCAGCCGAAAACATGCCGAAGTGGCTGCTTAAGGCGGAAAATAAGGTGCCCAGGAGCTCAATCACAAAGCGCCTAGTGGACACGGGCCATACGGTGGACCCAATGGTTGCATTCAAGGTCCTATTTCGGGCGACGACCGGGCGTCTCTTGCGCTTTGCAGAGGCCGCTGCAATACGGAGGAGGAAACCAGAACTCTGTAAGCAGCTGGACCATGTGGTAAACCTGGCACTGCCATGGTAATTATCGATTATGGACGAAACCCTGTTCCCATGTACGCCCTCTCATTTCGCCCCCACCCGCCCCCTCTCCCCGGCATGACTGAATGCTCCCCGCACGTTGCACTCTAAATCACGCCGCACAAATTCTCTCATACTTGGATGACTTCTCTCCCCCTCCCCCGCTCGCCATATGCACCCGCATACTAGACCCATGTTTCAGGTTACCTATCAAGTTTTTTCTCTCTAGGTCGGTCGTTGATTGAACAGTTTGCCTTGTCATATAACTATGCGATGACCGTGTGCAGCTGAATGAGAGGTCTCGAAAGTTATGACGTCAGTAAATTCTGCATGCTTTGTCGCCTTTGCCTTGTTCGAAATTATTCGGATTTGTACGAAAAGTCAATGACTCTTGAAGATCCTGTTTTCTTTTCTTTGTATCCTACGTACATCTGAATGCAAGCTTGACATTACAATGCTCTGTGGAGAGTTGTAAGAGGGTAATTACTTACGACTCAACTTGCTGTATGGCTACCTCTGGAATCCAAAACTGTGTGATAGGACTCCCGACACTTGACTCGAGAGTAAAGATTATGACTGCAAAGACGAGATACAGAAATCAAATTAATAAGGATTAAAGTCAAGAACACGCGATAAACTTGCTGATTGCCTGGTGCGGGGACCTAGTAGCTTCACTCGCACCTTAAGAACTGAGCAGTGAGCTGTACGAACCCCAACCCGATATATTCCAGAAGGTTTTCAAAGACGGAGGACACCGGAAAGGGTGGAGTAGTGCGCGTGTTATCCGGGTTGATACAGTGAATGTTGAAGTTAATCAAAAGCTTTTTGGTTTCTAGAGCGCAGGGAGTTGACTGAAGCTGCTGGCGCGCAGCTCAATTTAAATGCTAGGTGAAGCTTTGCCTAGACGTTGAGATTCTTAAGCTATAAATGCCTATTTTTTAAATGGGTCCTTTTTTAAAGTCCCTTTTTAATGCCGGGTATTATTTTTTCCAGTCTTGTTAGATAGTCTGGTAAATTAGTCGTATTTTGTGAAGTGCCCTTTTAGTGACTTCGTGTCAGACCGTCTCTTTCTAGCTTTGTAGCAAATTAACAGTAGTGTTTGCTATTCTGAGCGTTTCGTTGTACGTTAGCAACGTTTCGATCCTTGTACTGCAACGGTGAACCTACTAGCACCCTGTAGTGCCCCGAAGAACACGTGCTAACAGACGGAAGCTTGCGGCCTCCTCACCGTCTCGAGCGCTAGAATCGTGGCCGGAGACGCAGCAGGTGCCAGTGTGTGTTCGTTGCCTTCCGTGGATCGTCCAAAACTAAGCCTCTGCTAGTTGTAACAGAACATCAGCCAACGAAATACTCGATCAGTTGATATATGGCGACATAAGCAGCTCTTCTGAAAAGTAATTGAACAAGCGTTTAGAGTCATTGTAGTAATAAGCTCTGAAACTGTGGAGGGAGTAAAACGCAGGTATAATTCGTCGGCCGTGCTGAAGTACTGCGTGTGTCGCCAGCTCTGTGCTGACCAGAGGTTTGTGTGAAACACACTTCGGCGGCACATTGTTGTCGAGACACCTGTGCAGAACTCGAATCTGCGCATATGTAAACGACTCTCGAAGGGCAAAGGTTTCCCACCGTCGAGCCGATCGGAGCGCTTCGTGCCCAAAAAAAACTGCTGATAGAAGAAACCAGACGAGTTCCAGGTTGCGGTTCAGAAAACATCGGCGAATGTCTCTGATGGTGGATTCGTGTGAGAATTCGAAACGTCAGGCCAATAAATTTCTTGTTCCAGTGATCGCATCTTCGTCTTCTGTAGGCATAATTTGTACTGCGAAACATTTCGAATCACTTACCTGCTATAGAGGGAGCGCATTTTTTCCCGCTAAGTTGTGGCTTGAGTTTCAGTGTCGCACAAGTTAAACGGCTGCGCTCTCTCGGCCGTAATGCGCCGATACTAGCTACCCTTTTCTCCTTGATAGAAGTCGATTTTATCTTGTCGAGGAGGGAGATAACTAGAATTCTGCCGTAAATGACGCTGCTCGGTTTCGTCGGACCTCACACCCCTGCAGCGAAGACGGAATAAATTAAAAGTGGCAGAAACCAACACCCAGATAATGACACCTACTGTCAGTTTGAATAATTCCTCTACAACACCATCTGCGGCATCTGCACATCACCGCGTAGTCAATCCCGTAGGGAATTCGACTACTCTTAATGGTAAGCTCTTTAAACACACCATCACGCCTGGTATAAACACGCCTCTATCGACTCCCCCAGCAACCCCTAGTAAGCCTAAGCATGTGTCTAAGTCAAAGGCAAATCCAATTGCTGTCTCAGCCACTCGGACACCTGGTAAATATAGCTCCATTATGAAATCTTTTCCTGCGCAATCGCCTAGCAATACCTCAAACATCACGGCCCAAAGCGTAGCATGTTTCCAACTAGCCCCAGCGGTTAGGCTAAATATGCCGATATTCCCACCTCTTAATAGAATCTATGCCCCCATGAAAGCAGCGCGTCCTCCACGACCGTTTCGCCAGTGCATTCCTCATGCTACTGTTCATACTGAGTCAGCTAACTCATCCGTTCCGCAGTTTCGTTCCGGGGGGAATACGTTACAGCATCTGGCCCGTGAATTTCCAGCAGAAAATCAGTCGGCCACTAACAGTCATCAGTTTCCCTGCCCGTCCTTTCCTCCCCCAAATCCTACTCCCTTTTATTCGCGTCAGAATCTTTTCATGCCTAAAAATTTTTTCAGAACCGGATTGGTGCATCCGGACAGTGTGTTCCGTGGGCAGCCAAGCACTGGACGATGCAGCCCGTATCCCTCAGAAACAAACGGATTTTCCCCTTAAAATGTTGTCCTAAATACCATATCCTTGCTAAAAAGGATGCCTTTGCTTCAGACTCTGGTGTTCGCCCATTGTCCGGATATTGTTTTAGTAACTGAGGCATGGGCACCAGCTTCCGCAGATGACTCCGAACTCTCTCTTCTAGGCTATAATTGCATTCGACATGATCGTCAAGACCGCCGTGGTGGGAACAGATGCGTCTACGTTAAGCAAACACTTACATTTCTGCCGCTGAACCTCCCTCATTTTTTCGCGGTAGAAGGCAGCTGCTGGCTCTAGTTTGCACTAAAAATAAGTTCTCCTTACTCATTGACTGCGTCTGTCGCTCTCCCAACGCCAATGAGAATTTCGATCGTTTACTCTCACGGGCATTTCATGCTGCGGGTGACTTTAATCTCCCCGAAGTCCGCTGGTCTCCGCCTTCAGGCCCAAGAAGGTTTGAAGACTGTGGATGTTGGGGTGTAGAGTCAGGTGGTCGAGTTCCCCACCCGACGATCAAGCATGCTTGACCTAATTTTCTGTAGAGGCTGCATGCCTTTGTCAGTGTCATTCCTAGGTCCACTCGGGGGTTCAGACCAGGACATAGTTGTTTTAACGTTAGAAGTCGAGGCTGACTAAATGTTGTCTCTAAAGTATAGCTTTTGCCGCGATTTCGGATCAGCTCGATCGCCGCAAGTGGGATTCGAACCCATGTCCAGTCGTAGGGTGACCAGCGAGATGACCGCTAGACTATCTGCGCACGGCCAGCGGCCTGAAATAAATAATGGAGTAAACATTATTCGTAGTACAAACGACACTATGCATGAAGGAAAGTCTATTGAGAAGGCCTTGCCACCTAGGATTAGCGCTCGCTCTCTTTATAGTTGCAACCAGGGGCCCGCAAAGCGCGCTAAAAGCGTTATCACAGCAAAACCTGTTAGTTACGAGGACGAGCCGTGCACTGGATGCTCATTTATTCTGCTGAAAGTCCAAAAACTCGAAAGAGAGTTGACTGCTTTAAGGGAACTCGTGCAAGCGAACGATAGTGTGCAAAACGCGGTGAATAGCGCTAAAGTTAGCAAGAAAAATGGAAAGAGCAAAACTCTAAAACAGCCAAAGAACAAAGCATGTGGAAAACCTCTGTGCAAGAGCGCCGATACCCAGGACGATGGGAAAATAGCAACGGAGTCTCTTGTTTCTATGGGAGACAACCCAAGCGAGCCATCAACTTCTCTCAGCCATTCCGCGTGTTCAATAGGAACCTCAGTTGGAAGTGAGGGAACAAGCTCATGGCAAGATGGAAAGGGTAAGCGCCACAACGGGAGTATAGAACCCCAGACGACTCCGGTGGATCTTCTGAGACCTTCAGCTGACAAGGCCACCGGAAACAGAAAAAATGAACCCCTTGATCGTCAGCACTGCGTAGTCGTCCAGGGTCTATCGGAGTCGGATGCTCCTACCCCGAAGGAGAGGATCTCCGCTGACCTTAATATGCTTCAACACCTACTGAACAAAATGCTTAATTCGATTGAAAAGATAACCATTCGCGCAGCCTTCAGGATCGGAAAGAAGGTGAGCGAACAATCAGAAACTGTGCGGCCACGACCTCTGAAAATTGTTTTGAACAGTAAAGAGGAAGCTAGCTTACTTCTGTCCAAGAAAAGCAGCCTCCGAAACTCTCACAAGGGAGTTTTTTTTTCAGCCGGACTATTCCCCAGCGGAACGTCTGAAACGCCGCGAATTGGTAACGGAGTTGAAGAGGAGACTTGCAGCGGGAGAGAGCAACTTGGCCATTTTCAGGGGACGAGTAATACAGAGGAACGCGATGTTGTTTTGGAACCAGCCAGTCATCATGATGGCGGCAACAACATAATATTGGCAAACCCGAGACAAGCCGAACGAAACATTGTCGAATGTTGCAAACTAAAATTCTTTTACACCAATGCTCAGAGTCTGTTTTCCAAGCTTGACGAACTGAGAATACAAGTAGCCGATACTCTCCTCCCGCTGCGTCGGCCTCTCAGGAAATGGTTGACGGGCGATTTTGCCTGTGCGCTTTATGAGTCACCACTCCGTCGAGGGGAGCTGATTGGACTTTAGTCGGGCGGTCGGTCTGGCGCCCGACTAAAGTCCAATCAGCTCCCCTCGACGGAGTGGTGACTCATAAAGCGCACAGGCAAAAACGCCCGTCAACCATTTCCTGAGGGGCCGACGCAGCGGGAGGAGAGAAAAAATCGATCAGCATGAGGCCAGCCAACACAGCTTGCCACTTTAAATTACATTTCTGATCGATTAGGTGCAGTTTACGCTTTGACAATGAAGAGCCGACCCAGCTCTTTGAAACGTCAGCAGTTAAATAAACCTGCTCCGGAGAGCCAATTTTCTTCTTCTAATAGTCACCATGAGGTCTTCTTATTTCTGCCTCTGGCACGTGCTGTTAGATATCGTCAGTTCTATTCTGTAAATGCAATTGCTATTTGGAATAAACTACCAATGAGTGTGAAAACTCTGCAAAATTATCCTTTATTTAAGAGAACTACTACTCGATCTTTGCATTCAGAAAAGCTTCCTCAAATTTTGGGTGCTGAATCCACTGATCGACTCTACCGTAGCGATGACGTTTGTGGTCTCTGAACACTATGGCCGGTCTCCCCAGCTGTTCCTCAACGTCTCTACTTTGACTATCCCCAACTTCATGAAAGGAATTGACGTCCGATGATCCCCGATACCGTGCAATCCCCCCCCCCCCTTCTTGACGGTCGAAAATCTACCGCCAGCAGTTTTTTTTCTCCTGAACCCTTCAAACCATAAAAACCATCATCAACTATATTTTTATTCTTCAGGAGTTTTTTTCACTGCTGGTCGGATTTGTGTTTAATCGCTTCCCTTGACAATGCCTGTAAACTGACATTTAATAAATTAAATTAAATTAAAGGAGAACTAAAAAGCTGGAAGGAATGTACATCTCCCTGTCCGGACGAGATCCCAGCAGTGCTGTCCTTTGAAATTGCCAGACTGCTGGCCAAACTACTATCTTTTCTCTGCCCGTTTTGAATGGGTCACTAGATCCACTGCTATCACTTTTCTCCCATAGCGATGATTTTCTCGGTTCTTGTTGTCATCTCATTTCGACCTCAAGCAGTCTGTCGACTCCCACGGCGGAACCCTCTGTATTCGCCGTCTACTTGTAGTTTCGTCGTACCTGCCTTGCCCAATCCTCAGCTGGGCTTGAAGCGGACTGTGACCCATCGCGTCTAAGTTCCTCTCGTCTCGCCACTTTGACGCGAATAGTCTTATTCGGCGTATCAATTCTGCCCTGATGATGTCCGTTTTGAAGCCCTTATAAAATATAACATTTAGGCCGATCTAGCCCGCATTTTTATCCTTTCATGAGCGACAGTATTCTCCTTTAAAGTTAATCCAATCATTTTGTTTATTCTACGATAAAGTTTTTTCACTGCTCGCTCATCACTTTTCTTAATGGACTACTTATTCAATAACTTTGTATGGCATATTGTGCAGATTATGCCTACCTCATCTAAAATACATTGAAAATTTACTTTTATTTGCTACGAAGGGACCGCGATGGGTCTATAGTAAATTATTTTATTTATATTCATTTTTTTACTTAGAAATTGTTTGACGCTGGAATCCTTCCCACAGACTGGAAGACGGCCCCATTACACCCCTTTACAAAAGTGGTAGTCGTGCTCTTGCGAGGAACTACAGACCCGTCAGTCTGACACCAATCTGCGGGCCAACAAGCCAACTGCCTTGATCTTGTCCTTACGAAGTCACAGGACAGCATTGATGAGGTGTCATGCCTACCCCCCTTAGGTAAAAGTGACCACGTCGTTCTTCTATGGGATTACTCGCTTTTTTCCATGCCTAAGAAACCCGGGACAGTTAGAAGAAACCTTTGGCGCGGGGATTTCGACCAAATGAGGGCTGAAATTTTACGCATTGAGTGGGAGTCCATATTTGTTGGGAGCATACTCGAAGACTGGCAACGGTTCCGAGAAATTCTGCACGAGCTGATCGTAAACCACTGTCCGCTTTCACGGAAGAGGTTAACTAACAAACCCCGATGGCTTACGCAAGCCTTGAAGAATGAAGTGAATAAAAAACGACGGCTGTGGAAAAAATCGCTTTCTGACAGGAGCCCCACATCTATATGCGCGTACAAAATTCAAAGAAATCGAGTCAAGGGTCTTATCCTCAAAACTAGAAAGGAATTCGAACGGGATCTGCTTTACCGTGCCGCGGAGAACCCTAAATTATTCTACGGTTACATTAGGCAGTGCACGCGGAACAAGGACCCAATACCCCTGATAAGGACTGCTGAAGGCGAATATCTCACTGACGACAGGGCGAAAGCTGATCACCTTTCAGAATTTTTTCGGTCTGTTTTTAGTAGCGAAACAGGATTCAACCCTTCGGCCCTTCAATCCTTCGAAGACACCCCAATTATAGAGACCGTCCAGTTCACTGAGGGTATGGTTCTGACGGAGTTGCTGAGGCTAAAGGAATCCAAATCACCAGGTCCCGATGAGATTCCGGCGAAGATTTTGAAGGAACTCGCCGGTGAGTTGTCTAAGCCACTCTCCATGCTTTTCCATACATCCTTCGAGACCGGATATCTGCCACCCGACTGGAAGTCGGCGTGGATTACGCCGCTGTACAAGGGCGGAAGTCGGGTCTCTGCGAACAATTACAGACCGGTCAGCCTCACCTCCATTTGCTGTAAGATTATGGAGAAGATAATAAAGCAACAACTAATGCAGTTCCTTGAACAAAACCATTTGCTTTCCGATTCTCAGCATGGATTCCGAAAAGGCAGATCCTGTGTGACAAACCTGCACTACTGTCTGGAACACTGGACTAGGGCTGTTGATAGAGGAGATATGGTGCATGCCATCTATATCGACTTTAAAAAGGCCTTCGATAGCGTGCCTCACCACCGCCTTCTATACAAACTAAGCCGTGCAGGAGTGCGGGGTAAGCTTCTGATGTGGATTCGGAGCTTTTTAATCGGCCGCTCTCAAGCCGTCCACGTCGGTGACCAACAATCTGCCGAGGTTGCCGTTAAGAGTGGTGTTCCCCAAGGCTCTGTTCTTGGCCCTACGCTGTTCCTCGTATACGTCAATGACTGCGCAAGCGAACTGAATTGCGATGTCGCAATGTTTGCCGATGACATAAAGATCTGGAGTACCATACGAAGCGAAGTTGACGAGGCGCGACTGCAGACAAGTCTGGACCACCTCGAGCAATGGTCGAAAGACTGGCTTCTACCGTTCAACGTAAACAAGTGTACTTTCCTACGCGTCGGCAGAACCAGTTCTCCTAACCACACGGTCTACCGTCTGACTGGCGAACCACTGCAAGAAGTCGACGCCCAGAATGACTTGGGTGTATGGATCACAACCTCGCTTAAACCTTCGCTGCAATGTTCAAAGGTGGCCAAGTCGGCGATTTCCATGCTATACCTTGTCAAACGTGCGTTCCCCTCCTTTGATGAAGACAGCTTCGCTAAGGTCTTTCAAACTTTTGTGCGACCGCATCTGGAGTTTGCTATCCAAGCATGGCGACCCTGGGCCGCTAAAGACTTGGGCATACTCGAAAAAGTTCAACGGCGAGCAACGAAACTTGTATGTGGGCGGTGGTCACTACCCTACGAAACGCGATTAGCTAATCTTGACCTCTTTCCTTTGAGTTACAGACAGCTACGTGGGGAACTGATACAAGCTTTCCGCAACGTGCGCAATCAGGGCTGCTGCCTCGCGTTTGGAGACTTCTTCGAGTTGGCGACTACGACTAACCTGAGAGGCCATCCACTCAAACTGCGTGTGGCTGGTGTCCGGCTAGACACCCGAAAGTTCTTCTTCTCCAACAGAGTGGTTGCAGCTTCGAATGCCTTGCCTGAGGATGTTGTTATGTCAGGCTCGATAGATACTTTTAAATGGAGACTAGATCAGCATTGTAACGCGCACCACAATAACGCCGGACTACGGCCACCTTGACAGCCAACGCGGACAATTTAGTGTTATAACGATGCTACTACCAACAATTAAGTAAGATATGTTTATGTCATTTAGTTAGCTTGGGCCACCTCACACACCGCTGTTCGCATTCACCACGATGCCTGTAGACTAAACAATTTTACTTCTTTTCCCGTGTCTTAAGAGTGCCTCAACTGTCCGCTGTATTTTGACCAACAAAGCAAGTTAATGTGCCTCTAAACTCTGTTAACGCATGACATTCTGTGTTCATCTGTACAGTTTTTGCTATTCCCCTCGCATTTCTTTCATGTTACTTCCTTTCCATTTCCTCCATATATATCCTCTGCATGTAACCAATAGGGATTTCAAAGGTACACACCTACTTTCCCTGAAATATACTGATACTGATACTGATACTGCTGTAAACTGATGGAGAAAACTATTAAAAAGTAGTTGTTGGCTTATTTGGAAACCAACAACCTCTTATCCAATGCACAATACGGTTTCCGTGGGGGATATCATGTATAACGGACTTGATATGCACAATGCAAAGGTAGACAAGAGCACTCGATGAAAAACACACTGTGCATGTGGCCTACATTGATTTGCGGAAGGCGTTTGACAGTTTTCCGCATCAGCGTCTCCTGTGCAAGTTGAGAGTCATGGGCATCGGCGGCAAAATTCTTAAATGGATCGAGAATTTGCTCGTCGGCCGTTCCCAAATTGTCTGCACATAACAACAGCAATCAAGGCGCACATTTATAGAGAGTGGAGTTCCACAAGGCTCGGTGCTCGGACCAACCCTCTTTCTTTTGTTTATCAATGATTGTGTAGATGGGTTCGACTGTGAAAGTGCCATGTTTGCAGATGACATAAAAATCTAGAAGGTTATCAACACTACTGCCGACGAGACCAACTTCCAAGAAAATCTTTTTCGATTGGACGAGTGGTCCCGCAGATGGCTCTTTGTTTTTATTCCTTTTAGATAGATAATTTTAGATATATAATTTTTATTAAAGACCCGTCGGGGTCCCATAAAAGCAAGTTAAAATAAATTTGCATGCGGGATTTAGACGAGGTGGGCTGAATCTTTACAAAATGCAATTCATAGTTTCTGAATTAGAAGTCCATTGAGAAACATGATGATTGAGGGGTGAAAAAAACTCCTCAGAAAAAGTTAAAAATGATTGGATTAATTTTACAGGAGAAAAAAACCCCTCTTTAAAAATAATAACAGAAAAAAGCGAGCAGGACTGGCCTGTAGGTGGCGGTATATAACGGAAAGTTGTCGGTCATCGTCGGGGTATCAATAAATGTCCGCCTTGATGAGTACGAATGTGGGTCAGACAGGACTGGCTTGCAAATGGCATTGTATACGGGATTCACAATTGAGATCGTCTGGGCCGGATTGGTACGCAGCGTCAAAGAGGCCAGACGAGAGGAACCGAGATGCGATCCGCCACAGCACGCTTCGAGCTCAGCCGAGCAGTGAGGAAGGGAGGAACGACCGAACAACTAGTAAACAGTGAATACTGAGGGTTCCGCCGTGAGCGTCGACAGACCGCATGAGGTCGGAATGCGGGAGATGACATCAAAAACCGCGAAAATTGTCGCTATGGGGGGAAGGATAGCGATGGATTTAGAAACCAATTAAAAACAGGGGTTTCTAATGATATAATTAAGAGTTACCACTTAATCTACCACTAAATCCCAGGAGGACCCTTCTCGAAGTCAAGAATCTGAGTGTTCGGGAATGAGACCGTTAACAGTGCCTTTATGCTTTCCGGTGTAAGATGGTTGCGTAATTTCGACTTGAATACCAGTAACTTAGGCGAGGATCTAATTTCAGGCGGAAGATTATTCCAAAGGAAGGCATATTTGGAAGCAAAGAAGAGGGAACGCTTAGATGTAGTACAAAGAGGCGGCGGAATCACCATGCAGGAGTTGCGCGTGGCATAAGACCGATCTCTCGGTGTGAGAGTGTCAATGTGCGGAAGACTGGAGCTAGAGTTGATGCGAAAAAGGAAGCAAAGGCCAGCTTCGAGTCTTCTAACCCACAAAAACTTCATGTTCGCCAGCTGACATCTCTGAGTATAAGAAATACTGGACGAAGCTTGAGAGAACAGATTCCGGGTGAAAATCCTCTGAACATTTTCGATTTTATTACGGTCGCAGGCGTTCATTAAACCGAAGAAAGGACAGCAGTATTCAAGGACTGGAAGAACAAACATTTGATAAAGTCTTAGCTTCATTTCCGGAAGGAAAAAATTATGCGATATGAATCCACATATCTGCGCGGCTTTGGCAGAGATTCTATCTGCATGAGGTGATAAAGCAAGTTTATTTGTATAACTTAGACCTAGGTCCTTTATGGTGAGGCATTCTGAGAGTGGGTTATTCTGAAAAATTATGGGACCAGGAAGTTTGGTAGGACCAAAAGACATGAAACCACACTTGGATGATGAAAACTCCATCTGCCAGGTCGAACCCCATCTGCTTAAGCGTAGTAAATCGGCATTAATTTTTTCAACACAAACATTTGCGGTGTCCTTAGAGTATGAGTAAACACACTTGAGGTCATCGGCATAAGTAAAAGTCTGCGAATTTCCAAGTTCAGTCGAAATATCATTGATGTACAGAAGGAAGAGTAGCGGACCCAGGACCGTGCCTTGAAGTACGCCACTCGTGATCGAGTGAGGTGTCGAGTAGCTATTACCGACCATGACTTTCTGATATCGGTTGGACAGATAGGACCTAATGAAGTCGAGTAGAGGCGGCCGGATGCCGAGGGCTTCCAATTTTACTAAAAGACGTCTATGGGGCACCTTGTCAAAGGCTTTGCTAAGATCAAAGTAAATAACTACCACTGACAGGAGTTTTTTTCACTGCTGGCCGGATTTGTGTTTAACGCTTACCTGACAATGCCTGTAAACTGGCATTAAATAAAATTTTTATTATTATATCTCGGACTTGCTAAGATATTGGCTTTAGAATGCACTTCTTATCTACCTCCTGCAGAAACCTCCAGAAAACATGCACAAAATGTGCTTTCTTTTACTCACTTGGTGGAAAATCACATTGTCTTTACATTTTCTACTCGAAGAAATGGTGTCTTTCGGTTTTTAAAAATTTTCTAATTATAAACTTTTTAAGACCGTGCGATGTCCACACATACAGCATCGAACATGCCCGTTTAGTGGTGCTCCTCAAGAAACGTACAACATAGTCAGCATCCATCACAAAGCTTTGATGAATTTCACATGGTATCTTCTTAGGATATAGGGAAATATATGATCTTCCTTACGCGGAACGCATGCGCCCTGTAGACTGAAATCGCCAAACTCTAATGCAACGGCTGACCGGGCTCAAAATTATTCGGGAATTGGGAAACTTTGTCAAAACTTAAATATACCCTTTCTTCAGACATAAAATGTGAAGACAACGTGATTCTCTACCAAACGAGTAAAAAAGAACAGTTTTTGTATGTTTTCTATAAAAAATACACCTGCAGTTATAAGACAATCGAAAATCAATGTTACAGGCATGCAACATTAAGTAGTCATTTTTACCGAGTGTGGTTTCCGCAGTAGGTTGAAAAGAAGTGCATTCAAAAATCAACATCCTGGCGATTCCGAAACATTACAGGATTATGCCGCACGATAGTCAATATTGTAATCCAACCCAAGTAATACTTCCTAATCGAAAGCGCATTCCAGAATTTCGGCCAACAGTTCATGAGGTCGGTCGCGCACTCTATGCGAATTGATGTCTCCATTCACTTACTGCTGTAGTTCCTTCACATTATTGCTTAGTTTCTCGATTTTTTATGTAAAAATGGGGAGTTCGAAGTCGTAAGCCTATTTCCCTCAAATACACTGGCGGACTGACTGATCTACCGTATGTGATTATACTAATTGCAATAAGTGAGTAACTGTTTATGTTTGCCCGCTTTCGAGTGGCTGGCAGTTGGCTGCCTTTTGCATGCAATTATGTACAAAACCTCCTTTTCAACTTTCCACTTCTCAATGCTTCTCTTAGACTATTTGTAATCAATAGGGAGTTCAAAGGCATTCGCCTATATCTCCCTTAATAAAACTAAGCTGAAAGTCGCAGATGGATCAAGACGCAGATTTAGCATAAAAAGCGCAGATTTACTATAATTATCCGCAATATACTTACACAGTTAATCCAGCACCAACAGTTTAACAACGTATACAGTCGTGTGGCCTAAACATCTGTCTAGATACCAACAAATGACCACTCAAGAAGAGAGAATAAACCCGTATCAGTAACCTTCTATTTACAGACCGAAGCCGACCTGGTACAACAAAACCCTGAAATAAATGGAAGTCTGCTGAGCCCGAACTCATTCATAGGTCCGAACGTCACGCCTGTGCAAAGGCGTACACTTCAGGAAAAAGGCACCGGGTGCAAACACAATAATCAACATTCCTCTCCCTCAACTGAACCTCTAACAGGTATATCTAATCCTGGCACTAATAAAAAGTAGCGCATAACCCGACTTAAGCAAAATGATAAACGTACCACCATCTCAGATTAATCTCTGGCGAGTACCTCTCCGTGGTAAAACTGCATATCTGCAAAAGGCGGTTAGGATGGAAGGGCGAAAACAAATAAAGGAGGCATGGCCAGACGCCGGCACTCAACCAGAGAAGGACGAAGACGCTGATCTCGGACCCAGTCTCATGACGCTATTAGATACAAATATACGTTTTACCATGATACCCAGAAACGATCACACTTCCTCTGCTGAAACCCCATCTAAATACAATTACCATTTACTTAACAAACCCCTTCATACATACACTCAACCTCTTCACTCAAATTCCGCCGTTCGCTTCGCCATACCTTCCAACAACTACACAGTTTCCTTCCTTCACCCATCACTCAATCAAAATACCTTTAGATACCATTTCTTCCACCACAGCCCACATATCCCATTTCCGGAATCCAGATTATCGCTGTTATTGATGCGAGGTCGATAATCCACTAAATATCCC